AAAAAAAAAAAAAAAAAAAAAAAAAAAAAAAAAAAAAACCATATCTGGCAAACCAAGCTTTATTAAAAATAAAATTAAAAAAAGTCAAGACAAGGAAAAAGCATGTGCTAAGCTTTATTGAAGCAGAGAGAATAATGAAAGGGCCCAAATCCAACGCAATAATAAACCATATGGCAAATGGGGACAATGCTATGTACCCTCCAAACCTCAAACCATGTGCGCCAGCCTCACCTTTGCCCAACTCTTCTCCCATCTTTCCTAACAACCCTAGCTTGCTAGTTGCTACTACTACATTATTATTCTCAAAAAATCCCCTTCTACTTTCCTCCTTTTCTTAGATCTCTTAACAAATATATTTATTTTATTTTAATCATTTGGTTTCCAAAACTAGCAAACGAAGCTACTTCGAATTCACATCGTGTAAGGCCTGTGTTAAAGCGAAAATTTTGCTTCGTATTAGATTTATTTTCATTCGCAAGATTTAAACAAGAAATTTCTAATTATGATCGGAGGAATTTCATCCATCTTACCGTAGATTTTTAATAATGATTACATATTATAAATGGAGGTTCCTCTTTTTTGCTTTTTATTCTGAGATGAAGATTTTTTATTAAAGAAAATAATAGTTATTTTGGTCTTCTTCTGTCCCTATATAAGCAACAAAATTATGATGTCCAATTATGAGTTCTAATATTTTCTAATTTATAATTTATTCATTTTTTGGGTAACCTTGCCCAGATCCAAAACATGTCTTGAGATGATATTTTGATCAGAGTAGCGTAAATTAATGGTCGTCACAGGCAAATATAATAGTAAATGACAATTTGTCATTTTGTTGTTCTTATTTAAGAAAGATCAATTGTGCTTCTGGAAAGAATACTTTTGAGCCAGGCTGATTTATTTTTTAAATATAATAGTCATGGACAATTTTGGCTAATTGGGATTTTACTGGGTATGTTGTTGTTGTTGTTGGACAATTTTGGCTAATCTGAGAATTTTATGAGTTGAAATAAATTTCACAGCAATCACTTTTACGAGCTATTGTCCTAAAATTATGACTATATTCATATTCATTATACCTTTGTGTCTTTCTGACATTAGACTTAGCAACTTGAAGAAGATGTTCAAATTTAAATAAGTTAGTTTTTTCTGGAAACTAGAAAATGAATGGATATGATAATTGATAGCTATTCTATTTAGTAGAGCTTTGATATTTGGATAAAATTTGAAAGAGGAAGTACGCCGATACGTTAAAAGAAAACATATGATTGGGAAAAAATGGTCACTTGGGTATAACCATCTGTTATTTAAATCTTACTGACTCAAGTAATTCAAACTCGTATCGTGTATGGACTATTAGACAGAGAAGAACTTTTTATCAGAATTTCTTAATTGTGAGGGCTCGACTTTGAAATTTCTGATTAAGAGTGAAAGAATCTCATCCATCTCACCACATCCATTAACAGTTGGAAAAATTACTCCTCAACGAACAAGCAACTGCCAGTCAAAGGTAAAATTCAAGAAAATGGCACTTTGATTTGTGGGCAGGTAATTAGTTTCACCCTTAGAAAATTACTTATGCCAGTTTCATTTTCCTCTTTCTTAGTCTTGAATTTTTTTAAACTTTTTATTTATTTATTTTTTATTTAAGCCAATTTTGTTATATTATTAAAAGGCAGCACGGTACACTAAGTTCTTGCTATGCGTGGGGTCCGAGAAAGAGCCGGACTACAAAAATCTATTATACGCAGTATTACCCTACATTTTTGCAAGAGATTATTTTCACGACTGGAACCCGTGACCTCCTGGTCACATAACAACAATTTTATTAATTACGCCCAGGCTTCCCTTCTAATTTTGTTATACTTATTAACTTGATTATATCAATTTAAGTGCCAAAATTTTATGCCCTCCAAAACTTTCTCAATTTTCTGATCTATGAGGAGGATTTGTTATTACATATTTTGCTCTAATTTCGAGTAATCATATTGCTTCTCCACTTTCACCAAAACATCAAATGCTTTTCAATCAAGTAACGAAATTCGCTTCACTTTCTTTGCTGACGTTTTTTAGTTCTACCCTAAACGAATTCAAAAAGGAAATACCTGGAAAATATTGAGTAACTTTTCCTCTATTGGTTTAGAAACTATTTCCTTTTTTCTATTTTCCCATAAGTAGAATTTTTTTAAAACAATAACTGATAATAACGACGTTTGTTTTAAAACAGATTACGTGTTTTCAGGAAACAAAAGTCAATCAAAAGAGAACACTCGAACCCTATTTTGTTTGAAGGTAATGCAAAAACAACCTTTTTGTGATGACCCAAAAATGCCATCTTCTCTTTTAGAACTCGATTTCGTGTTTCGAAACCTTAAAAACATCACTTTTATCTCTTCTCGATTTACGCGCGCAGTCCAGGCATGATTCCGGAAAGTCTTTATTTAAAAAATTTATAAAATAATACTTTTTAGCCTAAAAGTTGATTTTAGTTTACTTCGGTCAACGTTTTGAATAAACGAATCCGGACCCGTATTTTCACGGCCCCGGTAGGTCCGTAGTAAAATG